CTGAAACAGTGGCTGCCAACCAGTGGGCCGGGGGCCACTGGTAGTCTGTGGGAAAATTTTGGTGGTCCGTGGAGAAATGTGTCGTGTTCCCCCCACCCCCAAAGCAATTAATCTGCAGCGCCAGGTGAAACTTGCGTCCTGTCCCTATTCAGCCATCGAGCTTGCAGTCTCTTCAAAAGAAACCTCTTAAAACTATGGGAAGCCAGATGTTAGGATGGGGAATGTCCCAACCAAAAAAAAAAAACCCTTTTCTGCTCTTTGGGGCCCCGTATGTTCTAGCTGATTGTCAAAGGATAGTTTCCCCCCCCCTCCCACAATTAGAGGCAGGTCTTACCTCAGGTTGGACTGGTGGGTCTCCGTGCTGGAAGAGGGCTCCAGACTGATGGGAAGGGTCTTCTCGTTCTTATTCTGGTCATACCTCTGGCAGGGAGGGGGGAGAAAGAGCAGGAATTAACCCCTCATTTCCAGCTGAAACGGAGACGTCCTTGTGGCCCTTCAGATGGTGACACCGAAGGGCCATTTTAAGTAACGATGGAATTTCAATCAACCCAAGAAGAGCAAGTAATATTGGTTAAACCCATTAAAAAGCAATCGTCACCCAGGTTAATTTCGACAGGGCTTTCCCCTCTGTGGGTGTTCAATCTGCAACTGGCCTTGGGCCACTTCCCAAAGATTGTGCGCTGGACACAAAGGTTGTTGCGCAGCTCAACCAACTTCACAGAGATGTGAAGGAACATCCGCCTGTTGTGGGGGAAGAAAGAGGGGGCCCACTCGGACACCGGCAGAGACAGGGAGTGGGCTCACCTTGACCTGGGCGTGAGCCCACCGCACAACCAGCTTCTTGGAGAGCGCCAGCTTCCCATTGAGGCAATGGATGGCCTGTTCTGCCTCCTGAGAGAGAGGAAGGAAAAAAAAAAAAAACCCTTGAGAAAGGCTGCTGGGCTGGAGAGACATCTGAAGGCCTGGCCTAAGTTAAGCGAAGGCTCAGCCTACCTGTTTGGTCTCGAAGTTCACAAAGCAGTAGCCCCTGGGCTGCCCCTCCAGGACCCCCGACTTATGGAAGAGGAAGTCAAACTGTTTCACCTTGCCGAATTTCTGCAGGAGTTTGAGAAGGTGATACCTGGAAGGGAGGATAAAGGAGAGGAAATAAATTCTGCTATAAAAACCCACCTCAATTAAAGGAGAAAAGCAACGTTACCGTTGTTTTTTTGCCTGAAGGCATTTTCAGGATGATGGCCGTGCAGCGTCAGGTGGCCAAATGAAATACGGTAGGGCCAACAAGGGGTCATTGGGGACCTCTGGGGAGGGAAGGGAATCCACAGCTTCCCTGGCCAGCTGTACCTCTTCCTGTGGGTTCCCACCAAGATAGACATTTCCTTGAAATGACTGAGAAGATTCCAGGAATTGAAGCAGTCTCCCAAAGCAGGCAGATCTTTTCCAGGAAAAAGCAGGGGGGCGAGAGAGAAACTGGCCCGTTTATAAAGTAAGAAAAAACGCAAATGCCAAAAAAGCAAAAACAAAAAAGTGTGAAAAAAGAGTTTTAAGAAAAATGGGGGGGGAAAGGCACAAAAGAGGTGGCTTCAGGGCAATTATAAGTAGAGTCATGTTTTCACCTCTCTCTCTCTCCACAGTTAGATCGTAACACTCTCCTTTCTATAATCTATCCTTATATGGTAGCTAATTTGCGGGCATCGTCCTTACAATAAGCTGAGGAATATTTTGAGCCACGAAGATATGCCACATAATTTAGGCTTATTTATTTCTGGAAGTCATCTGAAGATTTATTAGCTATTGTTAGGAGCATAAAAATACCCCTATTCTCCTTCTGCCCCCCCCCCCCCCCCCCCCCCCCCCCACTCTTCTCCTCTCTTTGGCAAATGTACTTGTTTTCCTTAGTCCCAAACGGCCACAGTTCATCCTGTTCTCGAAACGAAAAACATCAAGCAACTTGCCTTGAGGAACCTCATTAGGTTTCCTTTGGCAACTTTGCGGCCTGTTTGGCCAGGTTCATCAGCCTGAAATTCATCCAAATTCAAATTGTGGGGCTTTCCTTGGGTTGTCTCCCAAAAGAGTAACGGGGGACAGAAGCCGCTTCCAAGGGGAAAGGCAGGGAAACGCTCAGTCCCATCAACCCGAGTGCCAGGTAATGAGCCAGCGAGTCCCCCAGACTCGGTGATGGCAGGATTCTGGTATGGGCATTTAAGATGGTCTCTGGCATCTTTCTTTACCCACTTTGCCAAGTCCATTTCTGACTTTCTTCTACTACAAGATGAACATGTCTGGAGTCTAAAGAAAAAGAAATGACAGGCACGAGTTTGAATCTTTCGGTTAATATTTGATAATCTCCCCACAGAGTTGCTCTGTTGTGGAACCTACGACACTCAACTCCGGGACTCTCAAGGCAACCTGTAAGTTTACGAGCTACCTGTACGTTTTTGCTTTCTGTCCATCCTCTGCAAATCCCTCTTCTCTGCCCAATTCTTTACTTCCGACATCCTTGACTGTGACTTACAAGGTGCTAAAATCATTTCTGAGTAACGAAAGAGCTGCGTTACAGACAGGGAACAGGAAGCCGGGCTGCTGAAAATTACCAGAGCTATTTTGATGGGGTACCTGGGACCAGAAGCCCCAGGCAGAGGAAGGAGAGTAGGCCCCCGTTCCTACTTCCTGCCATCCAAAACACAGGCCAGACAATCTGTCCAAGTCCCATTTCCTTTTCCGCCAGTTTTCCTCCTGGCACCCTGAGCGCTATTCAAAGGCCGAGTTGAAGGTTGCTTCAAACAATGCTTGCCTAAGGATATGGGAATGGCCCCAGCCACATGCTAAACCCATTTACGCCAGGACAATTCCTCGAGGTGGATCTTAAAGGGAGAGGCGGAGAGGCCTCTTGCGTGTGTATAGAGGCCCCACTCGCTTCCCTTACGGTTGCAATGCAAAGCGGGGGGGGTTTTTTTTTATCCCAGAAGGGCAGAATTCTCACTTGGAAGACAGGTGAACGGAAGCAAACTGAAGCGAAAAGAAGTGGGCCAGAAAGGACAGCATGGAAGCTTCTGTTCTGTTATTCTGAACGTGTGAAAATGCTAAGGGACGTAAATTCTGTTGTGGCATAAAACGTACATCAAACGGGCTCAATGCCAAGTGTTCCATTTTGCACCTGGTTGGAAGACCTCAAAGGGTTTTCGAACCTTTAATCAGATTGCACTGTCATTATGCAGAACCTAAAACTTTTTAAGCAACTGCTGTAATAGCCAGGGCAGTGATCCACACGACACCTGTATTCTGGGGAAAGAATCTCAGATTCCCCAGCCTGCCAATCCAACTGGCCCCGTCAGTACGCTTATGCTCAGAGATGCTTTTAACTTCCAAAAACTTCACAACACCAATTCATGCACTGAAAAGGCTCCCTTTGCGAGCGCCCATCAGCTGAGCAGCCGCCACAAATTGCTCAACCCCGAGAAGCCTCACCAATACAAACACTGGTCCAAAAAATGCTAATTAATGCAAAACAGAGAAGAGGCCGGTTAGTGCAGCCCTGAATGAATCCTCGTCAAGAGGGCATTAATGACAGATTTCCACTTAGAGGCGCGATTAGGACCCTGCCCAGCTGAAAAGAAGAGCACTTGGAACAAAAAAAAGCACTTGCGGATGGGAGAAGGAGACGGAGCCGGGCAAAAATTGCTTCCACAGCTGAGAGGCAGACAATATCGGGCAGATAAGACAAGACAGCCACTTGGAATGCATAAATCGGAGATTGTTTGGCAAAATGGGGCTAGGAGGGGGAGGCAAAACGGTTGCCCCAACGCCGCTGCTGGTTAATCTCCCTCCCGGCAATCAAGCTCGCCTCCTCCTCCTCCGCGTTTAATTGCCCCACTTCAAGGGGCTCAAACATGTTAGCAGGCAATTTAAATGCACTAATCACGGGAGGCCAAGGGAATGTCAAACGTGCACCCACTTCGCGTTTGATGCCACCAGAAACAGAGGGGGTGGGGGGCACAGGCAGCTGCAGCCTTCAAGATGGGGGGGCGGGGGTTGCCCTTCCTGCCTTGGAAGGGGATGCCCAGCGCTCCCCCCACCATCGGGGTCCTGATCCAGGGGACAAAAGCCAGCCATCCCAGGCAGGGAAAGGAGTTCAGAAGCAGATCAGCCCCAAGAGGGAACACAAGGAGGGTCTCTTGGCTGGGGAAGGGAGGGGGGCCTGCAGTTGCTTCCTTGGAGGGGTCCTGAGGGTGGGGACCAAGTCCAGCCGTCCCAGGCAGGAAAAGGGGTTCAGAAACAATTCAAAGAGGGGATGCAAGGAGGGTCTTTTGGCTGGGGGGGTGTCCTTGCCCCCACCCCCACGCCAGGGGACCAAAGCCAGCCGTCCCAGGCAGGGAAAGGATCTCAGGAGCACCTCAAAGGGGATGCAAGGAGGGTCTCTCGGCTGGGAGGGGGCGGCAGGCGACCCTGGTGGGAAGAAGGCCCAGACCTCCTCCTCCTCCTCCTGGAGGGGGGGGTGGAGCCCCCCCAGTCGCCCCCCCGCCGGACTCACTCGGTGATCTTGGGGTCGAGGTTCCCGATCCAGAGGCGGTGCCCGTCCTGCAGGGCCCCCTCGGACAGCAGCGAGGCGTTCTCCAGGCGCAGGCTCTGCGGAGGGGCTCGGCCCGCGCTCGCCATCCGGGCCTCAAGATCGCCGCCCTTCCGGAGCCTCCCGAGTGGGCTAGCGGTGAAGACGCCGCGCCTCTGGGCATGTGCAGAGTGCAGCCCCCTCTACCCCGCCCCCCCCCTCCGCGACCTCCTCCTCCTCCTCCTCCTCCTCAGCGCTTCGCCCGGGCTGGCTCTTCCGTCACTCCTCCGCGCCAAGGGGCGCGCGGCGGCGCGGGACGTCGACGTCAGCAGCACTGCCGCGCGGGAGGAATGACGTCACCGCCGCGCGACGGCTCCTACTACGCGCCCCCCCCCCCCCCCGCCCCTGCTTGGTCCACCGAGGCGAGGAGCGGCGGCAGGGAGGGGAAGAGGGAGGCACCGAGGGGGCGTGTCTTGAAAGTGGGCGGGGCCGGAAGAAGAGGAGACTCCAGCTATTTGCAAGTATAGATTTTAATCCACTTTTTTAGTGGGGGGGGGGGGAAATCTCCTCCTTCCCCAAATTATTATTATTACTAATATATTAAAATATTGTTATCAATAGAAATTCAGCTTGGCTGGGAGGCAGGTTTGCATTGAAGTCCCCACCCCCACGAGGGATTCCTGGTCTCCAAGCAAGCCAAGTTGCATTGCTGCTGTTGATCTTTTAGTAGAGTCCTCATTTGGGGAAGGAGGGCAAAGGTCTCATTTTGAAAGACCAGGACTCTTGGGAGGGGGGGCTTCCCTGCGGGGGGGGGGGGGGTGGCTGCCCCCCCTCTGCACCCCCCCCCCCCCAATCTCCCCTTGGGAGTGGGGCAGCAGCCCCTAACGGGGCCCAGACTAACAAGGACTAACCAAAGCTCTGCTCTCTTCCAGGTGGGCAACTGCAGCGCCATGGCCGGACCCCTCCAAGGTCTCCGGCGGTTGCCTGCCCTGCTCTGTCGGCCCCCCTGGCAAGCCCTTCCAAAGCCCAGGCCCTTCCTGCTGCTGGGCTTCCGGGATTGCCGGGCCCTCGAGACCCCACAAGTCAGGACCCTGGCCACGAAGAAGGTTAAAGGTGAGGAAAGCTGTGGGTGTCAAAGGCCAAGGAGGCGGAAGGGCCCCTTGAGACCACCACTTCCGTTTCTCCCTGTCCTGCCTCTCTGGGAGGCTCCAAAGACTAAAATTGCTTCTTCTCACGATCCTATAAACTATAAATCCCATCACTGACATTCGTATTACTTCCAATAAGTCACTATGGTATATCAAAGGGAGGACGGTTGGATCCAGGGGCTGAAATGCACCCTCCTCAAAGTCCCAGAGGCGCTTTCCCCAAAGGCAATTGGGCTTTCTTGTTTTTTTTCTCCTTGAAAACATTTCGCCTCTCATCCAAGGAGCTTCTTCAGTTCTCCTTGGATGAGGAGCAAAACATTTTCTAGGGAAAGGGGAAAAAAAACACAAGAAAGTCCATTTGTCTTTTGGAAAAGCACTTTTGGGACAACCTTGTCCTGGATGATTGAGAATCTCCATAGATATCCCTCCTGAAAGACAGTCCAAAACCTTTAGGGCTTGAGTCCAGGATGAGAGAGTGAAAGTAAGATGCTTAATATTTTCTTTTTTAAAATTTTTATTAAACAAAACAATTAAAAACATTGAACATGGTGAAGTTGATTTGACGTGATTTTGGGTCAATATCTCATATCTATCTATCTTTCTCTATGAACAATTATTCAACTATATACATGTATACGTTTCATTCATATATTACATTTCTAACATCATTCATCTTCTTTTCGTTTCATCCAATCATTTACCCTTTCAACAGCTCCTTTCCCAACTTAAGACATTCCTCTCTGCTCCCATCCATGATAGAATTTATCCCAAATTGCGTAGTATGCCAATTCATCTTTGTTTTTCCTTTCTAGAGTTAACTTGTCAATTTCAGCGCATAGCAAGATTTTGTATATTACTTCTTCTTCACTTGGTATAACTATCTCTTTCCAGTTCTGGGCAAATGCTATCCTTGCCTCGGTAATAATGTGCATAATCAAATAAAGCTCAAGATGTTTAATCTTTTCTAATGACAGAGGGTTGGTTGGGGTTAGCAGAGGTCACAATGTGGAACACACGGCCCTATTTCAAGAGTGCTCCGGAAGTAAGCCCCAAAGAAGTCTTAGGTAAGCAAACTAACTTGGCTCTGTTCTCCGCAGCTAAAGGGAAAAGTCAGGTCCGTGTGAACATCAACACTTCCTTGGTAGAGGACATCATCAGCCTAGAAGAGTTAAACGAAGAAATGAGCTTGGTGGTCAAAACCCTACAGGAAAATTTCAACAAAACTTTGAGCATCAGAACAAACCCAGGTGAGGGACTTCTCTCTGCAGTTTTTGGGGTGCTGTTCCAACTCATAATGTCGTTTTCTTGCCCACAGCACATTCTGCTGTTTAAAACTCTGCGCTTTTTTTTTTTTGGCCTGATCCACTAGATCAGGAATCACCAACCTTTTGGACCTCAGGGACCACCAAACTCATGATTTTAAATCCCGCGGACCAGAAACTCTGGGAAAATCCCCCAAAAAAGTCTGCAGGAAAATTCCCCACCCTGTTTTCCTACTGATTGATCATTCTTTATTTGGGATCGCAGGATACCATCTCCAGCTCCATTCTCAGGGGGAGAGAGAGAGAGAGAAAGACTTTTGGCTTCATGCAAGGGAAGCAGCAGAAGTCTTTCTTTCTCTCTCCCAAACTCCACCAGAAATGAATCTTTGTGAAACTTGTCGCGCTGGAGCAGGAGGCCTTGTAAGGTCCCAAAGATTCATTTCAGTTGGAGTTTGGGGGAGGGAAAGAAACTTTTGCTGCTTTCCTTGCGTGAAGCCAAAAGCAGAAGAAGAAAGGAGCAGAAAGAAACAGCCCGATGGCCAGGCCAGGCGTGTGGGGAGAGTGGGGCAAGTTCCCCCCCTCCACCCTTCTCCCCCTCCCCTCACTACCTCATGTTGTTCACAATGCAAGCACCACAAGCCTCGTGTTCCCGCACAGCCTGGATTAATTGCTTTGGGGGGGGTGACATTTCTCTGCAGACCGCCAAAATTTTCTCGCGGACCATCAGTGGTCCCCACTGGTTGGCGACCACTGCACTAGATCCCTTGAAGGTTCAGGATGTAATGAAAGAGAACATTGTCTCCTGCCTGAAAGAAGCAGGGGATAGAAACATCCTGGTGGATTTGAATTTCAGAAGCCAGACACTTGCAATACACCCTATTTTGAAGATGTTTTGATGCCAGTATATTTTTTTAGAAACAGCCTCATATCGGGAGCTTTCCAGGTCGATCCCAAAGCTATATAAGATGAAAGCTTGGACGGATAAACGTAGTGAAATGCAATAAGAACAGCAAACTATAAAGAGAGGAGGACTGATAATACCCGAGCCAGAATCGCAAAGGGTTTCGCTACCGTTGTATTTCTCATTTCAGGGGCTCTCGATTCGATCATTGTTGCCACCAAGGATGGGAAGTTTCCATTAAACCAGCTTGCACAAATTTCCCAACATTCTGCGCAGCTCCTTGTGGTTAACATGAGCAGCTTTCCAGAAGTGAGTAGATTTCTTGTTCCATCCCGCTTGGCAGATCCAAATCTCCTGATCCCAGGAGCCCCCTGGGTGTGGAAAATGCTACTGTTCCCTCTTTGGCTTCCTGCCCGGTTGTTGCTGCCAGGACGACTTGCGGCCCCTGCCTTTGTGTCTGCTGTGGCTCAGACCGGAAGCTCCTCGGGAGTGGAGATCCTTTTATTTTTTTGGCTTCCACACTTCGGTATCACTGCATAAGCTATGAGTGACATCGGAGCTTTTGCAGAACCAAATCACGCAGCCACGTTTGCTTTGGAGGAAGAGGGTTAACAGACCCGAAAGGAGCAGGAAAGCCTTCCAAAGACTAGGGAGTTTGAGTTGGGTTGCTCCTTCCTCACTCCTCTCCTGACTCCCCAAGAGAACAAAACGGAGTGTTTTTGGTTAAGAGAAATAAGCTAACAAATGCAAAAAAGGAGAGCCGTGGCCAGCTTTGGCGCCTCAGATGCAGGGGAGAGCCCACGGTCCTCGCTCCGCTGCCTGCCAAAGGGCTGTGTGTGGCACAAACTTTGAGCCTGGGGGGAAGGAAAGGTTCCCAGCAAATGCCTGCCAGAAAACCCAGAGATGTGAAGAACAGGCCTGGTGCTAATCCCTTTTACTTTCACACTTGCCCGGTGCAATGTGGAACGAGTTAACGTGATTGAGGCCTTCCCTGTAAGCCCCAAGCAGGACCACGTGAGGGCTTTGGCAGCCAAAGGCCCATCCTGGAATCCTTCATCGGCTTTCTTCCTACATCTTGCAGGAGTCCGGAGCCCTCGGGAGGATTTGCTGCCTCTTTTTGCTATCTGCGTTGCCTCAAACTGTCAAGATGGTTTCCATCTTCCTTTCTGCTTCCTTCTTTCCTCTCTCGCTTAGTCGGTCTCCTTCTTTCCCCCATCCCTCCCCTTCTGAAGCCTCTTCACCAATATCTTCGATCCTGGGCTGGGGAGGGGGGGGGCAGGAGGAAAGGGGCTGGGGGGGGGGGGGGGCTCCCTGCAGAATTGCAGTTCAGTTTTGATCAAAGGGGCCGATGTAACTTCCTGATCTCACCGGTAAGCAAACTAAATGTTTCCATGTTCTGTCAAGAAGGATTGCTCTCCGCTGATGGGGAGTCCTGGCGTCTGGTAATAATTATTTGCTAATTCCCCCCCTGCCATTTTTTTTTTTTAACATCTTGCCGTGGTTGCAGAGCACAGCTGCGGCCGTTAAGGCTATCCAACAGAGCGGGATGAATCTCAACCCGGAAGCGGATGGGCTGTTGATTCGCGTGCCGGTTCCAAAGTAAGTCACTCGGCCACGTTCTCTCAGTCCCTTGATGGCCAAAACCGCCCCTGGCGATTTTGCCTGCTTGGCTAAATGAATGGCCCCTTAGAATGGCCAGGTCCTCCTCTTGCCTCCTCCTACACTTTGGTAGGGGTGTGGGTGGAAGAGCTCTTGACAGGGGCTGCCTAGTGTGGCACCCCAGAATTTTCCATAGTTCAAAAAAAAAAAGGGTGCCCAGGATGAGATGGATCTTTGAGGATGTTTTGAACTTTCTTGAGGCAGCGGGAGCTATAAAACTCTTCCAAAGAGGGGAGAGGGCAACCCATGATCCTCTGGGCAATGACGTTCACCCTCTGGAGCGCTGTACCATCTGCCCCTGTGCAATTGGCAAACCATACAGAGGTGCAATAAGTTAAGATACTCTCTATGGTGCAGCGGTAGAAGGTCACCGGCCGTTTTTCATTCCGTTGTTGTTTCCTGAGAAGTCTAAGGTAGTATGATCTCCGCTGGGCCCTTTTGCCTTTTAAACATACCTGGTTTGCTGAAGTTTTGCAAGTTGCTTTGGCATTTGAATCAAAGGTAGCCGATGGGGGCGTTTGTGTGAATGCTTACATCTGAGTCAGGGCCACATTGAAAGCCCCTTTAGCACCAGCCAATGAAGGGTGCAGTTATTAAACCCGGCTCTCTTTAAGAAAAGCCAATTGTGTGGGACGGAAGGAGATGGAATGGGATCCCTTTGCTCCCCCGCTCCCCTCCCCAGCCAATCCGGTTCCCGGTCTCCTGCCCGTCTCGGGCGTCCCTTTCTCCCCCTCCCTCTCCTCCAATTCTGAAGGAGGCTGCTATTATTCTCCTAATTGCAGCAGCCTGATTGTTAGCATGCTCCCAGGTCATCTTCCAATCTGAATTCCTGGAGAGGAGGAGAAATCCAAGAACCGGCAAGACAGAGAAGATCTGAGCCTCCCGCTTTCTCCATTTTTTTACACGGCCACTGTCACTCTTTTGGGGGACAAGGCCCAGGTGGTTTGATTGCCAGGCTGCCTTCTGAGGGTGGGTGCCACCCATATCGTGCCTGCTGAGGCAAAGGCGTGATCTCCACAGCTCCAGAAACTGTAGTCATTAAAAAAAAAAAAAGCCAGAAATGCAAACTCTTTTATCAGGTATTATTCCAAAATATATTGCCCTCCTGCCACCCGCCAACCGAGCCATGGCTGCTTCTTCTTTCCGTGAGGTTCAGCCTTCTTTAGCCTTCCAACATTTTCTCCGTTGTTTTCAAATTTGCATCTCTGGGCACTTTTTTTTTTTTAAACAAGTTTTATTACAGTTTTCCACATTTTTGTAAAAAAGTCTCTTTTTAGTGAACAGCATAATTCAAGATTTCCACATTTACATACAGATGTGATCATAGTTACGTATTCATCTTTTACATTCAACTTCCTATCTTAACGATGCTTTTACCTATCTTTTATTTATTATATTGTTCAAAATGCTGATTTAAATCATAATTAATCTCATCTCTTCATAACTATAGTCCTTTGGTACTTTTATTTGTCATGTTTCCAATTTCATCACGTATTCCTATTTCATCCTTTCACGTGTTCTAATTTCATACGAATATTTAAGCAAAAGAATAGTTCCCCGCACTAAATTACTAATTTAAGTGTTTCACCCCTACAGTTTATATATTCATTAATCACCTCCCCTTTAAATCCCAATAAACCTTTAACTTTTACTACCTAAAAAGTTGATAGCAACAATCCCTTAACACTACATGACATGTACACCTTTTATGTCAGGTTCTGTATGGTTTTCCACCTCTTTATTTCATAAAGCTTATTTACAATTCTGAAAGAAAGAAAGAAAGAAAGAAAGAAAGAAAGAAAGAAAGAAAGAAAGAAAGAAAGAAAGAAAGAAAGAAAGAAGTTAATCTATTCAATTAATCCCAAACTCTGATATCATCTCTGGTCACTTTCATGCATGGCTCCGTGCCAAGAGGGTCCTTTTCTCCTTTGCTTTTCTCCTGCCAGAATCACCCGTGAACATAGGGAGAACTTGGTCACGGTCGCCAAGCAGCTCACTAACAAGGCCAAGGAGTCCCTGCGTAAAGTCCGCACCGGGGCCATGAATCAGGTGAAGAGAGCCAAAGGAACCACGTCGGAAGACACCATCCGGTTGATAGAGAAGCAGGTACTGGGGGATTGGGAGGCTACAGGCTGGTGCTGACCACTAGGCTGTCCTGTCCTGAACTAACAGCTCCCCCCCCTCACAGAACACAGAAATTTGGCACCTCACCTCAGAGGTCTCCCTGCCTCTGGACAGCCGTGTCCTCATTCGGTCGCTGGCCTTTATTTTTTGACCCAGAGGGACGTCCCTACATTTGAGTGGTGCGGTGTGGCCCAGAGGTGGAGCTCCCCGCCTCGCAATCTTTGAGTTCGATCCCAGGTAGAGGCGGATATATTTCTCTCTCTGGGCATGATGAGAACCTGCCTGCTGAACAGAACTCTGCATTGGCGACAGGAAAGGCCTCCGGCCATTCAAACACTCAGCTCCATTCAGTTGTCCAGACTCCACCCCGCAAAGGGATGATGGGGGTCATTAAAAAGCGCATGATGACGGACGTCCCTACATTTCTCGTGCTTTTGACGAAAATCCCGATGGCGATTGTTGCCATTTGTTACCTGCTGGTAGTTTTTTTCTAAAAAGAATTCACAAAGTGTTCTTTTTCTCAATTTGCCACAGATTCAGCAAATGACCGAAGATGCCACAGAGGAAATGGACAAGCTATTGGCAGCAAAGATGAAGGAGCTGCTTGTCTAGAGCCTGTCTGTCTCTCTCTCTCTCTCTCATACACACACAGAGGTCACCGCAAGCTGCTTTCTTCTGGCTAAAACGGTCAGTCATGATTTTTCAACTGCAGGAAGCAACTTTGGGCAGCGAATCAAAGCTCGGGACTTGAGGAAGCGGGCTGCGCCTGGAGCTGCGTCTTTGGCTCCCCAACAGCCGTGATCTCAGCTCCGTCGTGGAGAGCACAGCGTGACTTTGGTGCCACAGACCCAGAAGCCATTTTGGAAGAAAAAGAAGAATCACGGAACAATCATCGATTAAATGGCCTGTGGTGCCTGACTTTGGAGGAACAGAGGATGCTGGGGGGGGAGAGGGGGACTTCATAAATCCATCAGGAATTTTGTCTATGAAATAAAGCAAGTCTGAATGATCTGAGGGCTGCTTGCTGAACCCCTCATTTTTGAGCCACGTCAGAGTGCGTGGAAATGGGCACGTCGTCTCTCCTGAAGTGGCAAGCTCACTTGTTTACAATGAGTCGTACCCCCTCTTTTTCGACTGAGGATGCCAGTGCCGCGCCCCTGATTGCAGAATTGGCGCTTTCTTTCTTTTTTTGGTATGGGGGTGGTTGGTGATAGTTTAGCTTGAAACAAATCGAGTCCAGGCATTGAAAACAGCCAGCCTGTTTGCAGCAAAGGACAGACGCGCCGGTTTCTTCGCTCCTGCCAATCCCTTTTTTTAAAGCCCGCTTTTGTGCGCGAGAGAAAAAGACGTGGGCAGAAAAGCCCAATGCTTGGAAAAAAAAACCCATCTGGGCCTGGATGGAAAGACCGCAGGCCGCCTCAAGCCAACGTTGGAAGTTCAAAAGAGAGGTGATTGCTCCTCTTTTGAACCTCGGGGTTGTTGTTGGGTTTTTTTTGGAGGGGTGCGGATTGCTTTTGTGCGAAGGACGGAGGCGCCTGGCTTCCTGATTGTGCTTTTTTCGTGCCGCCTCCTGTCATAAGGAGCGCTGCTGTGCGAGGTTGGCAAGCCAGGTTTAACCAGGCGCGCAGCCCTCTTCGACAGGGTGCCGAGCAGAGGGGGGGGAAAAAAAGACGCGCTCAGCAGCATAATCGCTTTGCCTCCGAAATTCAGTGTTGATTAGAGGCGCTTTCTGGCTGGATTGTCGGCGGGCTGAAGTGCTGCATATTTTTTTATTTTTTATTTAATCACTACAGAAGCTCATTACAGCTTCCCGGCCACTCTCCGGTCCTCCGGTTCTCCTTCCCGATTAGCGCCCAGAGGCGGATGAATATTGGATGGTTTCATTACATACAAATGCAATCAACAGTTTTGCATAAAATTTCTCCTCTTTTTCTTGAGTTTCAATTGACCCCGGCACCCCTTGGTGGTGCCAGGCGCAAAACACATGCAAATGAGGGAGAACTTCCCGCATTAAAATCTCCCTCTGTTTTTGTGTGTGCATAAGTGTGTGTGTGTGTGTGTGTGTGTGAACAGATAAATGATATGTAGATGGGTGGTTGAGTAGTGGATGGATAGACAAGACTGGGTGGATAGATGGATGGATGGACAGACAATTGGATGGATGGATAGACAGACAAGACTGGATGGATGGATAGACATGGATGGATAGACAAGACTGGATGAATGGATAGGATAGATATATAGAGATGGATAGATGGATGGATAGACAACTGGATGGATGGATAGAAAGACAAGACTGGATCGATGGATGGGTAGGATAGATACATAGAGATGGATGGAGGGATGGATAGATATAGACAGACAGACAGACAAAAGGTGGGTGGGGCCTACCCAGGAAGTTAAGGGCCAGCACAGAGAGAATGAGAGAGTCCTAACCTTTTCATTGTTCTTATATTCCTTCCTTGCTTCTTCCCTTTCGATTAATTTCCAAGAATGTCCCAACTCTTTCCAGTGCAGATTGGAAGTATACAAAACCAGCTGCCATCAACGGGGCAGCAGCCATAGAAGCTGCGCGGCAGAGAATGGCCGTTTCAGGGCTACCAAAGCCATAGGCGTCGCTTGTTCAAAAACCACCTTTTGGACTAAACAGGGAAGACTTCCTTGACTGTTGGCCACAGGCATTAACTCCAACTCTTCCCGCCATTCCCCATTCCGTTCCTACACAGCTCAAACTCGCCAATGGAGAGGAACCTTTTAAGGGCAGGGGGTTAAATCTTGCCCCCTTGAAGCTTCCAACTCTGCTTTTCCCTGTCCATCAACCGTGCCAACGGGAAGGCTCGGCCATGATAACCACGGAGCACCGGTGGTGAAAGTGGCAGGAATGGAGGGGCCCCTTTCCCCCTCCGACTTTTAACAGTCCATCTAGGAGGGAGCCTTTACTTGCAAGTTCACCTGCCACACCTGACTTCCAGGAGGCTATCCAGAGCATCCCATCCGCTTTTTTCCCTGGGGGAGCAGAAGGAAACTCCCGGCGGGCCACTTTCCAGGGCTTCGTCCCCTGGCAAGACGTCTTCATCCGCCTCGAATTAAGGGGCATGATCTCTTGTGCCGCTGAAGCAAGGGAGCAAGGACGGCTTTCCTGGTGGCTGGGGCTCGCCCTCACCCCCCCGTATAGAGGGACTGACGCCTTCGCCAGCGCCCTCCCCGGACGCCGACCCATTCTGAAGCAATTTCTATAAAATAAACTCTCTAATCAGGTAAATGATCCCATACGCTAAATTGCTGCCTTGCAGCTGCTGCAGTTAACCTGCCTGCTTTATCCCTCTCCCCTCCCCCAGAAAGTGGGGGGGGGGCAGGAACACCCAGCAACTTTGTTGTCCCAATGAGAATCCAACCGGGATCGGGGAGACCCACTCCCTTGCGCAATCAGGCCATGTTTAAGCCAGGATCTGGTATGATTTGAGGAGGGGTGGGGGTGGGGCAGCCATGTTCTGGCCTTGACCGCAGATGCCTGTGGGGCTCCCCATCCTGTAGGGGCCTCTTCCAGCCCACAGGCAGCCATAACTGACCCCCTCCCAGCCCGAGCTGGTTGATGGTCAGTCCGTAGCTTGAGCCCAACCCCCGGGGTGGCAAGCCCCATTTCAAGGTTTGATGCCTGGGACAAACCATCATTAAGCAATAACGGCCAAGACAGCAGGAGGGTCTGGTCCCCTAATGCACGGCTCAGTGGAGGGTGGGTAGCACTGGCCACACGGCCCCCACCTACCCCAATCCAGAGCCCAGCCCACCTGCTCTTTTGACCTATGGCATCTCCCTTGCAACCTGGAAGCATTTATGCCTCTGAAATGAATCTGTTTTGGGGGGGGGGAGGGGCAGCGGATGGTTCCGGGGGGTGGGTGGGGGGAGGGCTGGTACAGCGGAGTCCACGATGAATTTGATTCCTTTCCTGGCTGATCGGGTTTCCACTCCTCCAGACTTCCTGTCCAGCTTTTTCACTTCTTCTCTGTGGCCGGTGAAAGGCTGCCCACCCGCTGCCCCCAGACCTGGAAATGGCTCTCTTCCCTGCCCCCCCCTACTCCCCACTTTCTCTCCCTCAGGGGTCCCAAGCCCCCTCCCCGTTCTGAGCATCGGTACCAGGCAGGGAAGGGACCCCCCTGTCGGTTCTGGTGAGCTGTCGTTCCCCCGGATGGCCAGTTTGTCTCGGACTCGACTCCGGTGAGGACAGCTGGACCGAAAGCCTTCCACTCCCGAGGCCTCCATCCTCTGCCCCTTCCCTCCTGGCCTGGCCCTCCAGACTGACCCCTTTTGCCGAAATCAAGAGCCCCCTTCCCCACCACTCCTCTTGTGAAAAGGCTCTTAGACTGCAAGCTCTCGGGAGCAGAGGCTTCTCTGCTAGCAATGGGCTTCATGCATCCTGCCCAGATCCTGATAGGAAGCCCCCCCCACAAGGTGCTTTGTCAAAAGGCATCCGGGCTCCCTTGGTTTTTCCCTGAAGACGTTTCGCTTCTCATCCAAGAAGCTTCCTCGGTTCCTATAAATCCTTCCATTCTCCCCCTCAGTCAAGAGCTGACGAAGCTTCTTGGATGAGAGGCGAAACGTCTTCAAGAAAAGAAAAGAAAAAACAAGCAAAGAAGTCCAGTTGCTTTTTGAAAAAGCACCTTGGGGACAACCATGACCTGGATGGCTGAGGATCTCTATAGCTATCCAGGTTGGAAGGTAGCCTTGAGGGCATCTAGCCCACCCTTCCAACGCCTAACCCTCAGCCCGGGTTGACCAAAGAGTCTCTTTTCTAGGTTAAGGCGGACTGTTGTTCGAAGCCACAACTTCCTTGTAAACGAAGAGAAGCATCCGAAATAAACCTCCACAGCAGCAGTCTCTGCTGGAATAAATCAGATTTCTCCACCGCAGGAAATTTGCAAAAGTCTTCGAAGGAAGCGGCAGTTCCAGCTCTCTTCATGGGTGCTTTTGGGGTGTCACGTCTCCCCATCTCAAACCCTTCAGGGACGGTGCTTGACTGCCCCTCAGTGGCTCAAAGGGGCTTTGTCACTCAGTTCATCGATGCCTGTCACGGGAAGGGGTGGGGTGTAACACTTTAGCCAATCCTTCCTGTGAAAATTTCCTTGCCTCGACTCTCACCCCTTCAATAATACCGTACCGTTTCTCATCCAATACGATTGAGAAAGGCACTTAACAGCAAGGAAAAGTTGATAAATTGCCTGCAGACTAATATATTGCGATCTGCGATCATACTAAGGGCAACTGTGTTCTCTTCACTGATGATGTAAAGCTATTCAACACCACAGACAATACTGCTACCCTTCCAAAAGACCTCGACTATGTATCAGAATGGTCAAACAAATGGCAAGTTCAAATCTTAACAAATAAATGCTCTGTCTTACATATTGGCAAAAAAAATTAATAATAATCAGAAAATAAAATACAAGCTGAATAGTCAAGCCCTTGTTAAGGATCCAAACTCGGCCAAGGACCTTGGAGTACTCATTTCTAACGATCTAAGTGCTGGAGCCCACTGTAACTACATAGCCAAAAAGGCATTAAGAGTTGTTAATCTAATCCTACGTAGCTTCTTCTCTGGTAATGTCACTCTATTAACTAGAGCATATAAAACATTTGCTAGACCAATACTTGAATACAGCTCATCGGTCTGGAACCTGCATTACGTATCTGATATTAACACAGTTGCGAAAGTCCAGAAATATTTCACAAGAAGAGTTCTCCACTCCTCTACTGGTTGCAGAATACCTTATGCCACCAGACTTGAAATTCTAGACCTAGAAAACCTAGAACTAACTTTGGGGGTGCAGGAGGAGTGCATCAATTAGGTGGGGTTCCCCTCCTCTTGTGTGTCTCCTCTGGTGCCCCTTTCTGTTTGACCCTCTTCCTCCTTCCTATCCGGGGCTCTTGCCGGCCAACTGAGCAGCAGAGAAGCCTGTTGGGGCGGTGAGTGTGTATTTCTTTTGTCAGCTACCCTGGGTACCTGCC